GAATGAATGAATGAATGAATGAATGAATAAATACAATACAATACAATGCAATACTCAAGGATGTGGTATAATACTCGTTGCAGCTACCGAGCAGTGGACGTCTGTTCCAGTTGCTGTGAAGTTATTCAAGTTAATCATCAACGAACTTGGCACTTTACTAGAAAATAATAATGAGGATACAAACGCTGAGGACGGTGACTCAGATGAGGTATTTTCACTCGTATTTCTGGTCACATAAAGAGAATAAATAGAGTAAGGGGAGATACGTTTTTATCGGGAGGAGAGGGGATTCATAAGTAAAAGTTTGATCTTTTGTGAAGAATCAAACCTTTTTATTTGACGAAAGCTGTTCCCTTATTGACCTTATAGAAGGGTCATGAATTTGTTACTGAGTGAAAGAGGGAGGGGGGGGGGGGGGCTACGACAATTTAAAATGATGCTTACTGCGAATCCCACATTCTTCCCTCCCATAAAAAACGTACCTTCACGAAAGAAAGTAAATAAAAAAAAATGAAAGGAAGAAAGATAGAAAGAAAGAAAGAAAAAAATGGAAGACTGCACTTTGGACATATTTACTACAAGTAGTCCAATTAAGATGTCATATTTTTTGTAGGGCGAAGAAGGTTGGGAAGATGATGAAATTGATGAAATTGAAATGGGAGGACACAGCCTATCGTCAATCATGGGAATGTACGCACCAGCTTCAGAATTCGCAGGTACGTTCTCCCACCCGACTTCAATCTTGAATGGGAATCCTGTGGTGAATAACACCTCGTTACCACGCCTACTCCGCCACAGGGTACCCATGTACCAGGAGAATCCAGGACACTTGTATAACTATTTGATCTTGCATGACCTTCTAGGGTTTGATCTGTTGGATGATCCAGTCAATGAAGACGACGATGACCCAGAAATTACTTCAGACCCAATCTTTAATATGGACTTACAGGTTGGTGTTCACCTCTATTGTATGAGTTTGTTACCAAGGTGACAGTGTCTTGATTGAAACTTCTTGTGTTCGCAGGCTCACCTGATAGAATACCTAAAGACTTTCGTACAACAGCCTTGCTTCCATTCCTTCGCAGAATCCCTCAACGCCATGGAGAAACACACCCTTTCTAAAATAGGCATAAACTCGTGATTCACATTTATGTACCAAGTGGTTGATGCGAGGGTCGTTCCTAGGTCGTTGCTAGGCAACGCCGCCATCTTTGAAGAAGTGTGCATGCGTGCAAATAGAATATTGCTAAAGAATTAAAATTATCACTGATAAGCTTTTCAAAAAGCTTTGGAATATGCAAAGGAGGTCTTACGTTTGTGGATTTGTGGTTCTTAAGACTCCAGTTTTACTAAAATTAAAATTGATAATCTGTAGGATGACACCACGAGATTATAGCTCGTGGCGTGAAAAAAAGAAGCTAAAAAGCAACCAAAGAAAGTGAATAAGTGTTAAAGTACGGCTCGAATCCATCCCGAGTTTCCAGCTCGTTTTCTTCAGGCGGAAAGCTTTAGATGAAAATAACTGGAAAATGAATGACTGGTATAGTATGGTATAATCCGTTAATGATTATCAGAACAGATCAAAGTTAAACATAACGAAGCCAAAAGTAGACCCCTTGCATTTGACGTCATTCTGGGGCCAGTCAAAACAATAAGAAACACATTTACAGAAGAAACTTTCTTAATAGGCATTTGCGTGGGAAAAGTGTCGGTTTGCAAGGTCTTGCCCGTCAGGTTTCCCAAAAAATGCTTATAAAATATGCGACTTTATTTTTAATGTCATTTATTCTGGTTTGTTTGTTATGAGCTGAAATTCTACTCTCTACCAATTTTGAGGTGCTCTTTTTATTGTTKTGGTTTATTTTGACACAGCTGCTCGTTTCGAGGGAGTTAGGGTCACGTAACCTGATAGTGCGAGGGCAACTCTTGTTTTGAAGCCCAGATTGGATCAGATAGTGAATTAGTGCAAGGGGTCTATAGATAAGCGCTCTACAGATAACCAGTCTACAGTATGGAGTCACGTATCGCGATACACAGAATTTGTAATAGACGAAGTCTTTTTAAAATGAAATGCGGAATAAAAAAGGCAAAAAACACAATGTATCATCATCATTATGCAACATCACTGATCATGTATCATCATCATGTATCATCATCATGTATCATCATCATCACCATTTATCAACATCATCATCATCATCATCATGTATCTTCATCATCATTATCGAAGAATAAAATACGAATTACAATAGGAATGACGTAACTGAAAGTGCGCGTGCGTGCTGTGTGCTCTCATATAGCACGCGCTCTCAACCAATCAGATCGCAACATTTATAGCAGTTATTTATGACGACCAATAGGGGCCAAAAATGATTGTAATTGTGCATTTTCTTCTGTAAAATGGAAAAATCTTTCGGCATTGTCAAAAACCTAACTTGAGTTGTACATTTCTTGCTGTAATCTTTGCAACTAGTTTGTCTCGTCAATTGTCTAGACAATGAAATACACCTTGAAACATTTATTGCAGCTTTGCAATGCAGCGCTGAATTGCAATGCAAGTATGCAACCCGTGGCCCAGCACATTGCAAAAGTGAAGCGGCATCGCCGACGAATATCCCACTTTTCAGCATTGCACTTCTATGATCTTATAAACGAGGCAATTTTTATTGCACCTTGCAATGCAGTTGCAAGAGTTGCACAGCAAACGTGAAAGCATCACTATCAAAGTCGACAGAAACTGCTTTAAAATTAAACATTGAAAGATGCACGAGAGACCACGCGTTTTCGCATTACCAGCAGAAGTGAACTAAATGCCATCTTCTTGCTCTAAGATTACTTAGTGTTAGGAGACAACGAAAAAGTTAAATTCTCAATGGAATCATATCCCTCGCTCATTTTTTCAATTCTTTATTGGAATATGCTATTCTCCATGCGAGCTATGCTACGCCATTCATGAAAACTAAGTTAACTCGTTTGACAAGCCTTGAAAGTTGCTATGGCTATAAAGTAGTACCAGTTTGTTTTCAAATAGCAAGACCTTATTCCATCTGGTGTGGAAAAGATAGCGGCAAGTAAACATTACTCAATAAAAACAACTTGATGTTTTCACGACTTCGGCTTCAGTGAAGTTCGACTTGATTTAAGTGGGCGCACAAGTGAAAGAAGATATTAAACTAGGGTGTTAAACAGTTGTGGGTGGCTTATCCATCCAGGCATATGGATCTTGTTATCGCGCGTCAAATATTGATATCTTTTACGCCCATCTTCAACTTACATAAACTTTATTAACGTGTCGGTCTTCAAGCGTACCACTAGTAATAAACTAATCGTGGACACTAGTAATCACTTATCACGAAAGCCTAGTTGATGGAAAACCTTGATTTATTCTTATGTTCTGGTGACGCAAAAGTCGAGTCATTTAGGCTTTTTCTTTGTGAGAATTCCGTAACGGAGTAGAATAGAATTAGAAAACAACAGGCTCGGCTCCGCTTACATTGTTTGCTCAAGTTCTAAATGACTACCATTGAACTATTGTTTACTGATAACAGACATTGGCGATTGTCGATTATCTTAAGGTTAAATAGATTGGAGTTTAATACTCTGTAAACAGTAATTCAATTAAATCTAATTTGAATGATTTGTTAGCCTTTGTCGGCATGCATACCTATCAAGGTGTGAGGGCTGGTGGGAGGGGAAGCGACAGGCTGGCTCTCATAGTCGTGGCAGACTATCACTGCATAGCACTGCATCAAAAGGTCTCTTTGAATAGGACTCGAAACGCGAATCATGTGTAGTATTCTTATTTAAACAGTTGGGTCAGTTAGACCACCATCCTCAAATGAACACCAAAAGGAAACTTGAAAACATTGGCACAATAAGTGGCATGAGTAGGAATATCCTCCTAGCCTCCCCCCGCCTACTTTGGGATCGTTATGATAGATTTGCGCGCGAAAAAAGCATCGGACGCTATTTACCTCAAAAAAGAGATGTTGAAAACCMTAGTTCACTTCTAAAAGTCCGACATAAGTTTAAAATACTACTAATTGGAGACAATTTAATGAAGATGATAAAACAAAGAGTTGAAAACCTCTTGTCATGTTGCTCTCTCGTTTAAAACCCCTAGGGGACGAACCACACATATATGTGTGGAAAATTATGTCATACCAATTTCGTGTCTATTTATACTTAGATCGTGAAGGAATGGTCAGAATATGATGGTAAACCGCTGACTAGTATAAAGAGGCTCCATTTTTTGAAAACAGCTCGTTCGAAGCATAAATTCTCGATTTTTACCGAATTTTTTTGTAGTTTACTCGCTCAAATTACACTGGCCTTTTAAATTTGGCGTCGCCACATGATATTGAAGAATTCTTCTGGTCGAAAACGCTGAAATGGCGGCAACCCGTTCGCCAGAATTAACTTTTATCGACGAMGATGACATACCTCTAGCCTTTATCACTATCAACCGTGCAGTCCRTGTCGATTCTGACAACGAAGCTCCCTCTGATGTTGATAGTAGTGACTCTGAGTACTCAAGCGAAGAAGATGACGATGAAGATGAAGAAGGGGACACTGACAATAGCGGTGAGGAAGACTACACAAAGTTAAAATGGTCTTCTAATATACAAGTCCCAAGAAACATAGATTTCAATGAGGAGGTTGGTCTCAAAGTTGAAATGCCTGAAAATAATTCAAGCTGCATCAATTTCTTCGAGCAACTTTTCACTGATGATGTTTACCAACTCATTGTGAATGAAACCATGAGATTTGAGAGGCAAAAACGGAACTTGGGGGACGATTTATCAGGCAATCTTCAGGATTTAAGTGTCCCAGAGTTGAAAGCATGGTTAGGCCTAACTTTAGCTATGGGTTTGGTCAAAAAAATTAACTTGAAGAGTTACTGGTCTATGAATACTGTCACTGACACTCCACTCTTCAATAATACTATGAGTAGAGACCGCTATCTCCAAATACTGAGATTCCTGCATTTTGTAAACAATGAAAATGCAGATCCTGATGATGTAAACAGGGATAAATTGTGGAAGATAAGACCACTACTGAACATTCTTCTCCCAAGATTTACTGATGTGTATGCTCCATCACAAAATCTGTCCCTGGATGAGACCTTGATAAAGTTCAAAGGTCGAGTTCAGTTTAGACAGTTTTTGCCCCTAAAGAGAAGTAGATTTGGGCTGAAGGGGTTTGTTATTGCAGACTCTTCAAATGGCTATGTCCTCAACATAATCATTTATACTGGAAAAGAAGGCCCAGCAGCAAGCAAAGATCTAGCTTCCTGAGTGGTTATGAATCTTGTCGAACCATACACTAACAAAGGCTACCGCTTGTATGTTGACAACTGGTACACCAATGTTCCATTGTTTTTGAAACTGGAGAAGAAAGGCATTCTTGCTTGTGGGACAGTAAGAGGTAATAGGAAATATTTGCCTCAAGACATTGTCAATGCAAAGATCGAGCACATAAAGAGAATGGCAAGGGGGGACTCTCTTTTTAGACAATGCGGCAATCTTATCTGTGTGACATGGAAAGACAAGAAGCTGGTACATCTATTGTCAACCCTTCCAGAAGGTCCAGACCTTAGTCAAGTCCAAAGGAAAGTTAGATTGCAAGGGAAGTGGGAAAAAAAGGACTTTCCACAGCCGAAGCTAATCAAAATGTACAACAACCACATGGGTGGTGTTGACTTAGGAGACCAGAAAATTGCAACCTGTTCCAGGCTGATGAAGGGGAATATCTGGTACTATAAAATCTTCTTTCACATGTTGGAAGTTGCTGTTTTGAATGCCCACATCCTTTTCAAGATATCCACCCAACAGCAAAACACCCTGAGTCAATTTAAAGAGAAGCTAATCCTAGAGCTTATTGGTGGAAATACCTTTCGACGACAAGTTGCCACACCATCCAGGAATAGATTGCTAGCAGACATGCGCTTCAATCATTCGTTGTTTCATCATCCTGTTGAAACTGATGTCCGCAGAGAATATAAAGTACATACTCACCGTGTGCTTACAAAGTTTGAGTGTGGAATCTGTCATGTCTATATGTGTGCAGCACCATGTTTCCAAAGGTATCACACTTTACAAGAATACCTTTTTGATGATCCCTCAAGAGAAGGTGCCAAGAGAATAAAAGATGTGAATGGCAGACCAAGAGCTGGACCAGGAAGGCCACCACAAAGAAGATCCAGATAAGAATAAACTAACTTTATTCTGACACTAATGTTTGCAACAATTAGTATTTCCAATGTTAGTTTCTGTCATCGTCAAAATATTTTCAATCATCAAAATATTTGCAGTCATTCTATGAAATTAACCTATTCAATTATAAATTTTATCCAAAAGTATTGTGATGTATAAAGTGATTTGCTGTCACATTTCAGAAATATTTTGGTGAGCTATGACTTGAGAAATCCAGTTGTTGACAATTTTTCACTTTTCCTAATAATTTACAGATTTTTCATATTTTTTCTTTGTGTCTTATGTAGTATCTCTATGTAAAAATTGAAAGTAAATTATCTTACCTTTCCAAAAATGCATAGGTTTATGAGGTTTAAATATATAAAAAAGAAGTTATTCCATAAAAATCTTTGGTCGTGTTAAAATTAGTGAAAAAACCCCCCTCCCCCCCCCCAGTTCCCTAGGGGTTTAACTGACAGCAGTCCGTAACCATATTGAGGAATGCATTTGGGACGAGTCATGCTGTCTGGGCGCACTTTGTACATTCGGTCATCGAAGTAGACTAGCATCGTTTATAGTAGGAGTTGATCTCTTTTATTCACATTTTACAACGGCTAAACGATGGATTCAGAGCTAGGAATCATACAAACTCTTTCACATGGCGAGGTAGGAATTGTAAAATTTTGAAATAGTAAAAAATAGAGCTGCTTATGGACAAAATGAATGAATTCATGTCTATATAAACCGTCCATTGAACAAGAATGAGCGTAAATATAAATCCGTGGTAGTGCTAGTACAAGATTTCTTCATTTTGGACAAACTTTGCTACTAATCGATATAGCGCGCTTTGAACTGAACAATCTTTGAGCTTCTTTGAGCAAATTATTATAAGTTAACTTTGTTTATAGTAAAGTTTTGGATATGTTCAACTATACTACTAAGCATTGAAATCACAATCACGTGCATTGCAATGCACAGTGATTGATCACAACTTTTACATGTGAATATACTAGATCGATTTAGGTAGTTGGACTATAAAAATCTCTATGTACTAAAACAAGTAAGAAATAATATAGTAGTCATAACAATCTAGATACATTGCGCAACATGACAGAAGCTTAATTACTACTACTTGTACAAACTTAGTACGAAACTTTAGTTTTTGTGAACCGATCTTTGATTCTGCCTTTTATAACTAAAGGATTTTTAATGCTTCTAAAGTATTTATTACCTAGGAGGTTGAAAAACTAATGCCAAGTTTGCGTGGTCCCAACCCGATGTCAGAACACAGCGCATTGGGGTAATGCTTTTATTGAACATTAATGAAAGAATCTAATGTTTTTCTCTTGCGATTGTAGAATGGAACAAGGATTCATCCCACAAGAGTCTTTGTTGGTGGTTTGGCAAGGGGGGTAAGCAAATTGGGTCGAATTTAGAACACTTTTAACTTCAGTAAACAAGAGTAATGCTTGCTATCATGCTTTCCGGCTTCCAACCATGCGGTAATGGCGAACATCAAAAAATACCTTGAAACTACATCTTGTACCATTTTAGTTCTTTACTACTATTGCATTTAAGCCAAATCCCGTGGAACTGTAGTGCAGGAATTGTTGAATTTGTTTATTGACTTTAGAACTTTGTCAAAAAGCTTTTACAGTTGAGACCCGTATCGCGATGAGTCGTCCTGAAGACTCGCCGCGCGACTGACCGGCGCCTAAATTGATTGACTACTGGAACAAACAGAATGAAATAAGCTATGAAATTTTAATATACTAAGTGGAAATGCATTCAAAATGTTCTCAATTATATGCATCGTTTTCTTAACCATTTTAGATTAGTATAAAGAAAGTTAATGATACACTGTTTTCAGTTCATGAAGGACCGTTCATTCTTCCTAAAAAGCGCAAACGTCGTCAATTATAGTTCGCGCCAAAACAATTGACTGATCATGATCTTTTTACTACTAATACATTACATACTTAAAAGATGTAATGTATTAGTAATAAAATGACGCGTTGTCCTAAGATTGTAAGAACTCTCTTCTTTTTCAGACTACGGAGCTTGAATTGGAGAATTTTTTTTCGGACTATGGATCAGTGGTGGATGTTCGAATAGTGTGCGACAAGCGTACAGGACTAAATAAAGGGTTGGACAATTTCCTAGCTTCTATATGTATCATACTATAAACGTTAGATCAGTTTGTTGTTATAACTAATTGTTTTTAGGTCAATCTTTTAAACAAGACGCTTGTCGCATTGATTCGCCTCAAGAGCTTCAAAGATTTCTGTTTCCTATTGAAATTAAAGTTTGTTCTTTCTATAGATATGGATTTGTTACTTACGAAAACAAAGAAGTGAGAGATACGCTCTTGAAAATGGTAAGTAGCGTGTACGTAGTGTTCTCATATTGTACCGCATTCTTTACGAAATGAACCAAGTTTGATAGAGAAAATCCAAGTTAAAGTTTATGCAAAGGAAGACGAATCTATATGAGATATAAAACCTCCTTCACGGTCATGATTTCTATTGTGTTTCCTTCATGAATTATTAATGAGTTCTTTAATCACTTTTCATGGTCAGGGCATGGTAGATTTCCGCGGACGAAAATTACGGTTGCGAGAAGCAGTGCGAAGAAAGGTAAGAACGTTTTGTTCAGTTTTCTGTACATTATGTGAACCCCTTTTTCACAGTAGTTTAAAGGTCTTTTTCTTTAACATAGGGTAGTGGGCAGTTTGACGAGCCTGAACCAGTTTTGTCAACTACAGATGGTATGTCTAGGCATTGATCGAAATTTTTGCTGTTGTATTACTCTCTATGATATCTTACCTTAAATGTTCATTTTTCCTTTCTTGTAGTGTTTCCTGGATGTCAGGAATCAATCTAGAAAATAAATATGTCAATAGTCATTTTCTTCTTCTTTCTATCATTAGCGCAAGGAGTACAATGGATACTTGTGCCATTAGATACAGTACCTGTACAACAGACCTCTACCACACCGGTAATGATGGCACTTTTTGCATAGAATACTATCTAAGTTTGCATTTAAACAGCTGAGGGTMCTGACGAGTGCAAAGGTGTGTGGTCCTGTGGAGGTGGGAGACCTTAAAGCAGTCTGCAACAGCCCCTGGACTGATCAAAGTCAGGGCACAGCTAATAGTCATAGATCAAATTGGAATTTAGCATTTTGAAAACCATGAGAAAAACCCTTGAATCAAGTGTGAAACCTAACAAACTCAACTCAAATGTGATGTTGAATCTGAAAATCAAACCTTACACCCCAGAGGTGTGAGGCGAGTCTATTAAGCTACCCTGCCTTTGATTCCCTTAAATCTGCAACATTTGCAGACTCAGTAGTGTACTGCTCATTAAAGGTACGTACACATGGTGCAACATTGCACGCAACATTGCATGCAACGAATTTGAAGTTGAATCACGCTCCACTCTTGCAACATTGCACACAACAAATTTCATCGTGTGAACATGGCTGCAACATTGCCTTTAACATTTTGAAAATTCCAGCCAATCAGCTTGTACCAAATTTACAACCGCTTAGCATAGCAGACTGACACAAGCGATGCTGCAAGATTTTGTTGCAATGTGTGTCACCCCGATTCAAATTTGTTGCTTGCAATGGTGCACCGTGTGTCTGCACCTTAATTAACAGAGCTTGTCTTTATTTCCATTTTGGTGATGAATGAAATACTGAGTCTGTGGACGTTGCTTATGACTTGGATTCCAGCTCGTGTGAACCAGACTTTAGAGTATAATTCAGTGCTAATGTTCTTTTGCTGTTCTGTATTTTCTTTTAGCAAATGTGGTCTCAGTACAGCACTTGCATCATGCCAAAGACACCAAACTATTACAGCTACAACTATATGGCTGTAAGTGATCCCTGACTGCTTATTATTAGTTTATTAAAGAAGGAAAGGATGATATCGCAGCACACAGTCTTTTGCCCTCAAAATTCAGCCCTTAGAGCTTTGAACCCTAAATAGAAGACACTTCTCAGTCACACCCTTATTTTACCCTCAAGACACAAGAACACACCTTGGCACAACACCCCTTGTCTCCATTGGTTTACTCTGGGATATATTAAAATAATTAATCAAAATATTTTTTGTTTCAGCCCGGTGCACAGCCTCAGCCTTATTACCAGCATGGAACAGCTTACTATTGCTATGTTTAAATGCTTGCTAAACTGTGTCAAATACTGAAGAAGATTTATTATCCCTTTTGAAATGTATAGCTCTATAAAATAAACCTATGCAATGTGAATTCATATTTTTAGATGCCCCTTTTTTATATAAAGACATACATGAGGACTGAAAGAAACTTAGCAGTTTTTAAAAACAACATATTAAGAATGTTTAATAAAGCTGTATGTGTAACAGAAAATGTCCAAAATGCTTTGCCAAACTCAACTGTACATTTTAATGAATGTTACTTTATCCTTAGTACTAACTTTTGCTTGTGTCCATTGTTGTGCTAGTACGTTTCTTTCTTCATCCTCCTTCTCATTCTTCTTCTCTCCTCACTCAAAAATAAATGACATTCACCCGAAATAAAATTTGAACTTGTAAAAGCTGTGCTCCGGGGGTCATTATGCTTGAACTGTATAGCAGCTGCCCCACCCTAAGCTGCTTTCAGTTCAACCCCTGTTGAGCTGCACCACTGCTCTACTTGCGGTGGTGATTAGCCGATAAATACAGTTTAATTTTATTTTCAAACTGGACGACTTGATTGCGAACTTATTGAGTCCAACTTGTATGAAGGCAAAGATAAGTTATGAACAAGCCGAAGCAGACTTAAACGAACAAGGACAATCTGTCGCTCTAAAACTATTAAATTGAATAAAACCTATGTACGCATATTAGCCCCTAGGATTTACAGTACTTCATTGTAATACGTATTAGTCCCTAGGGCTTTCTAGTATTCACTGTAATACACTTATAGAGAGTCATTGAACTGATGATGGACGCCGGATATCGTCCGAAATATCTTAAAAAAACTTCTAGTTAAATTAGGTTTCATAGATGCTAAGCTTCTCGTAAGTCTTAGTAACAGTAATGATGAAAAGGTAAATTATAACCGTGAAAAGATGAAAAAACGTACTGACGTTTCGGACGCTAGTCCTTCGCCGTATATCTGTCCTATCCCATTGAGTTTGCAAGTTTTCGGATTCAAACCCTTTGTGTGTGTCGTCCACTTAGTCGCGTACGGAATCAAATAAAACTGTCATGTCTAAAATAAATAGCCGTAAAAATCATTAACAGATTTATTACTAATATTCGTAGTTTAAATTCCAACGAGAATTTGATTCTTAGATTGCATCGCCACTGTACAGTTCATAAAAAGTAGACTTGACTGAACTGAAAGGTCAAAAAACCCTCATTAAAAATGACCTATTTTGTCAGCCCACAGAACCTAAGAATTCCATGAAAATTTCTAGTTATTACTAGTGTTTGTTTTTTCCTTGCTAACTAATAGCCGTCGAACATCAAAACAATACGAAACCGGATAAGAAACAGGTGTTGGTTCACAAAATCATTTAGGTTGGCCTAAATAGAGGCCAACCTCTACGTGGCCAAACGTCAAAAAGAATAGAAGCCCTTTAAAAACTTTCAATAAAGCGTAAAACAGTTTGTTTTAGAACCTGGTTTGACCTTGTCATGTACGAATGTGATTATGGGCCTCGGGCTTATTTACTAACACGGTATTTTAGAAAGACGATATATTATGAAATAATGGTTAATGATTAATTCAGTAAACGAAAAAGTTACAATTTCGCATAAATTATAGATCAGTTSTTCATATTCCGGAGTTGTGTTCTTCTGCGTATACCGTTCCAATTATCAACGCTTCTAGCTGTAAAAGAAGATTAACAAGGTTTGTAAGAGCTTAACATACCTTTGCGCTGTTTCTCCAGTACAGAATAAGTAATGTTTTTGGCGTGTTTCAGGACGACGAGAAAGATAATCGTATCTTATTTGCGACGTGGCCTTAGTGAACCAATACCATGAATGTTCTGTGGGCTATCATCTGGTTTATAGTGCTTTTGTTGCTTGCCTGGCCCATTGGGTTCTTCTGTGCAGGATGGTACGTTTGTTTGTCGCCATTTGAAGCTTGTATCGACGCCATGAGCCAGATTACAGAGTTATTGATGCGTGGAGTAAAACTACCTCTCGGCGTAGCCGTTCATATGGTCGAGGGCAAGAGTGGCTGGTAAAACAAGGATTCGTAATCTGTACTTTTTCGTAATACCATTTATAATCAACAAAAAAAACTTAAAATTTAAATCAGTTTTCAATGATATTTTTTGTACACAATATTGAGGAGCGATGGAAAACACCCTTCGAGCCTCTGCTTTGTGATATGAATCACGATACTGATAATAATTCGCAACTCGATCCCTGAAAAGATCTCTGTTGTACTTGTGATACTTTTTTCAATAAAATAACATTGATTTTATTATTGATTTTTATCTTTTGACTTATCGTTTTCTTAGTTTTTGTATAGCATAGTCTTATTTTTGCTTAAGTGGTAAGTTTTGGTGTTTTATATTATCTTGTAACTTATTATCCCTAGCTGCTGGGGATAATGTAAACAAGCTCTTACCGCACGCGCGGAATATAATTATTCAAGGAGCCAAAATTAGTACAGTACTGTATTTTTTTCGACAAAATTGAAAATTTCTTTTTCTTTTGCTTCCTAAATTATATTTTAGGTCTAAATAGATAAATAATTTTGGTTATTAGTATTCCCTAAATCTGCTTGTGCAAATTACTATCAATCGTGAGCGAGGGTGTGTTTTTAACATGGGGGGGGGGGGGGGGAGTGTTAGGCTAACGTTATTGCTCCACCGAGCTTCTTTCAGGTTTATTTTGTCGAAAGTATTGTCAAAATTTTGCTGTTTTAAGAAAGCCAATTGGTTTTGAGCGAGATTATCCAAAAAATAATAAAATTCGTAGAAATTCAGGACACAAGATCTTTCCTAGGCTGCGTCACAAATTCCGGATGTGACGCAGGCTAGATCTTTCCTTAAACTGACATTGGGGTTCCTGTGTGGAATCATAAGTCGGGGGAGTCTGGTCGTAAATCCAAGATGGCGGATTCGTGAAGACAATGAGAAACACAGAAATGAAACTTCAAGATAGCGTGCTACGAGCCTTTCAGGTGGCCAAGGTTTTCAGAGAAAACAGTGATTATGTCAACTATATGTCCTTCTCTGCTAACGGCGAAAGTCTGATCACGAGTAGTAACGATGATTCTATCGTCATTTACGATACTGTCGATGGCAAGTGAGTGTTTGAAACCTCGGGGGAAAAACTTATAAACTAACACTTATACTCCTATACTACTGTTCCTAGTATTACTTATGGTGAATATGAGATACTGTTTATGTATTTTCAGTACGTATATTGACATCAGTGAACAATATCTGTCTGGAATGTGTGTGACAGTGTTGTGACAGTGCTAACAATATTTTGTTCATGTAAGCTTATTTAAGCTTAAAATGGAAAAGTTTTATATGGAAGGTCTAACCTATCGTACATCTTGAGCAGATGTCAACAGAAGAAAAAACATGCAATGTATCTTTGTATTCCAGACCCAAGAAAACAATCTACAGTAAGAAATATGGTGTTTCAAACATCCAGTTCACACATGCACCGAACACAGTGATACACACTTCAACTAAAGTTGATGGTAGGTATTCCACGAGTCCCATTCARTAATGAATAGTGAATTTTCTTCAAACCCTCCCCACCCCAAATATAAGTGTATAGAAGTAAGAGTTAGTGATCAAATTAATATTGAGAAGTAAAAAAATTTCCTTACCCCCTCCCCCCAGTTGCACAATTGTCATTGATCATGAATGACTGGAAGCCAATAAGGAGCAAATGCTGTCATCAAATCTTTAATGATTTGAACCTGAATGTAATTTAGCCAAAGTTAAAACCGAGTCCAATCAGCCAGCGGTTTTGCCCATCATGGTTCAGGGGTATTGGCAGGGTTTGCAGTATAGCAGCTTTGTCGTTGTGTTATGGTTTGGTCAAGCGCTTGTGGAAAGATTTCTGTTGTTGAAGATACAAACAGGGCTAAAAACAACAGCTGGTCAGTTGCCAGTTATATTGATCTGCCAAATTAGTTTTAGCTCTGTCATACCTTGTTTCTAGCTCAACATCACTTGTCAAAATGACTGACAAGGCAAAGATTTGACTGGAAAATTAAGTTCCAATAATTGTGACAGGACATTGTATGATGACGGGCCATTATTTTTAGTCCTGTACCAAAAATGTCCAAAATTGAATGGGAACAATGAGACCATTAGTAGTGGTGCTTATTTGTTATTATTATTTATTAATGTTTATTAGTATAACATGTACTTTATTTTTTTTGTTCCAGACACTATTCGATACCTATCTCTTCATGATAACAAATATTTAAGATATTTTCCAGGACATACAAAAAGGTATTGGTGTATTTGTTAAAGAAATTCCTAAAGCACTAGCCTGATCTCAAATGCACTACTGGCTAATTTTTATAAACAACTCCAAATATCTAGCAGGTTTTCTAGGGTTTTGCTCATGCTAATTTCTATCCTTAAAAGACTAGAAATGTATACCTGTTGATGTTAAAAGTCAAAACATCAGTAGATTAAAGATTGACCCTCTTGGATATTGCAATCAACCAGCACCTTACTGTAAGATGTCTGTTAAGTGGTTGGTGCACTACTTACCAACACGTAATTGGCACCTTATCTACCACTTACTGTATAGTGTGCATTGATGGCAATAGCCAACCATGTTTATTGAATCACAGAAACTTCAAGGGTAAAGTAAATCACAGAAACTTCAAGGGGAAAGAAATAAGTTCACACTAGCTATCCTTAATTAATACTTAATATCATTATATTTCAGGGTTACAACACTTCATATGTCACCTATAGAAGATGCTTTTCTATCAGGATCTTTGGATAAGACTCTTAGAATATGGGACCTGAGATCACCAAACTGCCAGGTAGCGTTGTAATTGTTATTTATAAATGCTTACCTTTTGTTATAATATTTATTGTCGTCATTACTAATGATTTATTAATGATCGTATAGGGATTGATGCATGTGAATGGAAGACCTGTAGCTGCGTTTGATCCTGAAGGACTGATCTTTGCTGCAGGAATTGATTGTGAAATGATAAAACTATACGATCTGAGATCATTTGACAAGGTAACTGATGGTAACGGCTGCTTTCAAAGAAATGAAAATAGCAAATAATTTAAGGTTAATCTTGACTGGATGTTCAGTGCAGCTCAGGTTTTGCTCTTTGGTTATGCTGTGATTAGACCACAGTACATAATAAAGATAGTATAGTAGTAATAAATTATGCGTTCGGTGTGTATAATGAAGTAGAGAGAATAAGAGAAAAATATCAAATGCTCTTGGCAGGAATCCAACCCACGTCTTCAGTATTCTAGTCCAATGTGTTAACCACTACACTACAAGGACCAACCACGCTGGTAACGCAGCCGGATATTTTTCTCTTATTCTCTCTACATAATAAAGAGTTTGATTTTCATGAAATGATCACTTTCATAGTCTGATAGAGAGATGGATGGATGGGATGAAGAGAGGAAGTGAAGGCAGACAGGCAAACAAAGTAAAGGGGATAGGATGAAAAGGAAGGGAGAAAGAAAGGAAGAAAAATGAAGATACTGACAAATCTTATGATTTTCACAAGGAGTCTGATCATTTTTTCATATTCCTTTCAGGGGCCATTCTCCACCTTCCATATTCAAACAGATCCAGCTGCAGAGTGGACCAGTATCAAGTTCAGTTCAGACGGCAAGATGGTTCTTGTGGCTACCAATTGTGGTATCATTTACTTGATTGATGCCTTCCAAGGAAATCAACTGCATGCTTTTTCTGTAAGTTTTCCTCATTAAATCCACGAAAAGAAAATTATTGCATTGATTGAAAATCAGAGCAAATAATGGCTCATTAAATCAGCACACATGCTGTTTAGGTTTAGAAATATGTTTAGTTACATGTATTCCCCATTTTTTATTTGTATTGTTTATCCTTTTTAACTTCTTTAAAAGTCTGTTTAATAGAATTAAAAGAATATATTTTATCTTTTCCAAAGGGACATGCATTTTCAAAATCCAATCCTGTGGATGTATGCTTTAGTCCAGATTCACAGTATGTATTTTCAGGTGAGAGCAAATTTTTGTTAGCTTGATACTACAGCATAGGACAATGACAACAGACCAGAAAGAAATAGTATTGAATCGAGATGAACAGTGAGCTTGCAATAATAGAGACGTGTGAATAATTTGTTCAATGTGTTGAAAAAGGTCGTATCATCGCAAGCTTACCATTCATCTTGCTTCGATGCAAAGGAACGGCTAGTGTACCTTTCAAGATGGTGCAGGGAACTGTGAAAGGGACTGTTGAGGGAAACAGGCATTGAAAATTTATGTTCTCACTCCTTATTTTTCATTGCCATTTTTGCAGACTGGGCATTAGCATGCCAGAACATCCCTCATGCACTGAAAAGGATGTATTGCAACTGCCAAACTAAACAAGCTTCTATCGATCAAAATTGTGCTTTTAAAAATAACAATGACCACCTTGTTTCATTAGGATCTCAGGATGGCCGCATCCATATATGGGCATCAGACAGTGGTCATAAGGTGGTAACGCTGGATGGAAATCATCCAGGTCCTACCAAGTGTATGGCATTTAATCCAAAATATATGATGCTGGCTAGTGCTTGTACCAACATGGTAAGTTTTAGATTATTCTATTGTGTAATTCTAGATAAATTACATAATCTCCCCAGTAGATGGAGATTGGAATTTCCAAGGGGGTGGGGGTGGGGTATATTGTGTAGTTCCACAAGGAAGGGGATTGGAATTTCCAATGATTGGGAGATCAYAAAAGAAGAGTGTTTATGGTCCATTCATACAATCATTTTCTATTTCTGTATTTTTCAGGCATTTTGGCTACCAAATCTCGAAGAACTTCAAGAGTCAGTTTAGTAGAATAGTAAAACATTAAAATATATAGACGGAGGGTCGACCAAGGCTTTGAAACATCACATGATGGCAGCCATGACAGGAGGCAAAGCAATAATTTTTTTCTCCCTGGAAAACTGAATTCTTTCTCATGTAAACCAGATTACAGTTGAGCCTACAATAAGATATTATTTTGTTTAAGAATCATACAAGTGAGGCTATCAGGTCAATACGATGCTTTTTGTCTCATTTGCATGCATCAATAATCTGCTATTTGTTCGTTGCCTCCTGTCATGGCTGCCATCATGTAATGGTACAAAGCTTCTATTACACTGTACAGTACATTTGTTGTGTAGGAAAGTTTTTAAACTATGTGAGTAGATATGAAAACATTTGCTTTCATGATTTCCCTCTTTCTGTTTCTCTCTGTGTTCTCTATCGTTCTTTTTCTCCTCTCTTTGCCTCTTCTTCTTTTCCTTTCTCTTCCATGCATTATAACATGGACTTTTTGTAGAATATTTAAACCTGGAAAGTCACATTGCATGATTTTTTTAAATAAATAAAACGGCATAAAAAATTCATGTTCAATAAAGTCAAAAACAACAACTTGAAAATGTGGGTTTTTTTAAATTATACCATAATATTATACAAAAGTTGTTCAGATAACATCATCGAGATACCAACTCTTCTCATTTAGAGCAGTTGATTTATAATTAATATTTTGACTAACACACACAAAATGAAAATCTTAACGCTGTGGGTCATTCAAGTTAAGCTACCACTGCCATAGGTTTAGCATAGTTATTAAAGCATATTAGGACTGGAAAATTGATAGCAAGCATTAAAATGTTTTTTTTTTTTTGCATGTATTGCTGATATGCAATACATGCTACAATGTTTCTTGCACCAACAATGGAATTTTGAATTTTGTGGCAGGAAAAAAGTTGCAGCCTTAAACATGCTTATCAAAAAATGCATGCAATTCCAGAGAAAATTTCAAACGCTTGAACATTCTGCAACATTTTTTGTAGGCTGCTGTTGTTGCAAGCCAAGATACACAATGTAAGTTCCTCTCATGCTGACAATGCAACAAAAAATAGAAAATTGCAGTTGGGCACAAGAAAAAAGATAAATTTTTCCCAACAATGTAAATCAAAAATAGTATGTCTAGTATAACTGCAAAAAGTTATATACTGTGTAGTAGTAGCAGATCAGACACCAAAACATTTTGTGTGTGTTAGCCATCAGTCTTTAAATCTATGAATTTGCTATGTACATTCTGTGAAGGTTGTGACCATATTGCCGACCCGTCTTGTTACAGTTGTACAACTTCTTCCTCCACCTTAAATAGAGAAAATAATTCATTAATGTTATCAATAACAATAAAACAGTCAAAGTGATACTGATGATGTTGGTGATACATATTGATGATGACACATGATGATAATACATGATGAC